ATCTTATCTCCTATCTCCTTCAATCTTATGGGCTATCTCCTTCAATCTTATATTCTATCTTCTTCAATCTTATCTTCTATCTTCTTCAATCTTATATTCTATCTCCTTCAGTCTTATATTCTATCTCCTTCAATCTTATATTCTATCTCCTTCAATCTTATATTCTATCTCCTTCAGTCTTATATTCGATCCCCTTCAGTCTTATATTTTATCTCCTTCAATCTTATATTCTATCTCCTTCAATCTTATCTTCTATCTCCTTCAGTCTTATATTCTATCCCCTTCAGTCTTATATTCTATCTCCTTCAATCTTATATTCTATCTCCTTCAATCTTATATTCTATCTCCTTCAGTTTTATATTCTATCTCCTTCAGTCTTATATTTTATCTCCTTCAATCTTATATTCTATCTCCTTCAATCTTATATTCTATCTCCTTCAATCTTATCTTCTATCTCCTTCAATCTTATATTCTATCTCCTTCAATACTTATCTTCTATCTCCTTCAATCTTATCTTCTATCTCCTTCAATCTTATCTCCTATCTCCTTCAATCTTATCTTCTATCTCCTTCAGTCTTATATTCTATCCCCTTCAGTCTTATATTCTATCTCCTTCAATCTTATATTCTATCTCCTTTAATCTTATATTCTATCTCCTTCAGTCTTATATTCTATCTCCTTCAGTCTTATATTCTATCTCCTTCAATCTTATATTCTATCTCCTTCAATCTTATATTCTATCTCCTTCAATCTTATCTTCTATCTTCTCCAATCTTATATTGTATCTCCTTCAATCTTATCTTCTATCTTCTTCAATTTTATATTCTATCTCCTTCAATCTTATATTCTATCTCCTTCAGTCTTATATTGTATCTCCTTCAATCTTATCTTCTATCTTCTTCAATCTTATATTCTATCTCCTTCAATCTTATATTCTATCTCCTTCAATCTTATATTTTATCTCCTTCAATCTTATCTTCTATCTTCTCCAATCTTATATTTTATCTCCTCCAATCTTATATTTTATCTCCTTCAATCTTATCTTCTATCTCCTTCAATCTTATCTTCTATCTCCTTCAATCTTATATTCTATCTCCTTCAATCTTATCTTCTGTCTTCTTCAATCTTATATTCTATCTCCTTCAATCTTATATTCTATCTCCTTCAGTCTTATATTTTATCTCCTTCAGTCTTATATTTTATCTCCTTCAGTCTTATATTCTATCTCCTTCAGTCTTATCTTCTATCTCCTTCAGTCTTATATTCTATCTCCTTCAGTCTTATCTTCTATCTCCTTCAATCTTATCTGCTATCTCCTTCAATCTCATATTCTATCTTCTTTAATCTTATATTCTATCTCCTTCAATCTTATATTGTATCTCCTCATCTATCCCCTTTAATCTTAACCTCCATCGTCTTTCAAGGCCATTTTTGACATTTTCGGGATAGGTTTGGGTTTTGAATATATGTAAGAAACCTTCAGAAACAATAGAACTGCACAAAAAATAAGCTTCATATCCCTTCAAATTTACTTCAAACTAGAAATTTCACTTTCTTTTTCTATGTCATAGCCTATGTCGGATTATCGACTCACACAAGATTCAAAGATCAGCGGTGAGCTGTGATCACCATTACATACGAATGTAAAATTTTCGGATTATATTTACAGGTTATTTAGTTTAATGTAAATTTGTCGGTAGTCAAAAGTCTTAGCCAGTTCGTTTAATGGTTTAGCCGAGACTATATCACTGACTGTAAACACTATGCCTGACTAAACGACGACATTGGTATTTCTTTGTAAATAAAGCAATTGACCAATTGACACTTCGTCATTACTTCAGGACGAAGCCCTAACTCAAATAAATTTTATTTTATTTCGTTCATCTCTTTATTATGACTTGTTGTAAAAAGTCATAAAATGGCTACAATTAACAATCAATTTCAGAGTGGTACGGCGGCAATTCCATGTTCAAGAGTAGAAATAAGTGTGTCATGCAGGTATTTTTTTTTTACTTATGAGTTGTTATAATCTAGTTCATATTCATGTATTTATTTATTTATGTCCTAGTATGTTCATAATGATTGATACATAATGTTAATGATATTATGATATGATGTTGATAGATATTATTTCGGATATTTTTCCACCTGTCTTGTCAATTTGATTGAACAGTTTAGGGAAAAATGATAATTAAATCAATATATCTATATTAAGTGTACACTGTTCAAATTAGGCATAATTTTATAACTATAAGAGCCTAAACATTAACTGAACAATTATAACATAACAATATGATAGTATATACACAATACAGGCCCTACAAACAATCTTCCTCTATAGATTTTGGATAAAGTATAAATTTTTGATATTTGGATCCAGAGTATCTAGGGCTGGGTTTTAAAAGCCAACCGGCATACTGGAATAAAAAAAAGGCGATTTTCATACTACAAAACGATACTATTCAATTTGACGGAATTTTTGTTGACGTCAATATTATGGAATCAAAATTATTTTAAAAATGAAACGAAACAAATTAATATTTTGCAGTAGGCGGTTGGCTTTTTAAACCCACCCAGTATCTAGAGACATAGGCTACTCCAACATATTTTATACTCTGTTTTATAATAGAGATCCTTGGTCTAGGGAGAATTAGTTTGTTATTGATGGTGGCAAAAGGAGTATTATTTTAGTTTAATATGTTAGAAACATATTTAGTGTGATCAGACCATTGCATATTATGATTTTATATAACTCCAAGGAGTTTAAATAATCAAACATCTTATAATTGTTAATAGTAATATCAAGATGATCCGATAAAAGCTCTTTTTAATTTTGAAGTACCTTTACTAACATACTTTTGGTTTTAGATTCATCCACAATCATAGAATTATTAAGCCACCAATTATAAACACTATAAGCAAGAGGTCACAATTAGAATTCACAATCAAGGGCAAGTCATTTATAAAGATATTAAAGAGGGTTGGGCCAAAGATAGAGCCTTGTGGAACACCATACTGAATGGACCTGAGAAATGAAAGTTCTCCATTCACAAATGTCTGTTGCAATCTATTTTCAAGATAGGACTGAAAAAAGGCAAATGTGAGTTATTCGAGAAGTGATTAAGTGAAAGTCTTTTTTTATAAGAAGATCGTGGTTTACTAGGTCAAAGGCTTTCTTGAAATCAAGGAAAATACATCCTGTTTGTTTATTTTCATTTATGCTGTCGTAAATGTTATTTGTAATATGAGTAAGAGCTGTTAAGTAGAAGCTTTATGTAGGTATGTGTTGATTGCATTAGAAGCGTGCTTTTCAAGTGGTTTGGTGTTCAAAATAGAAAAAAGAAGGGTATTCAGACTTGGATATGCAAAGATTAAATATATGTGTTAAAGAATTGATAATAATAGAGGCACCGGTTTTAAGAAATATTGGATGTAACTGATCAAGGCAAGGACTTTTAGAAATATTAAGTGTGTTTAAATACTTATATATAGTGGATGTAGATATATGAGGAATAGTGAACTTTATGTCAGGCGTTTAACTATAAACAAAATTGGAAATTTTATAAAAATTTTTTTTAAAACAGTTTCAGGATTTTTATATGCCCACACGTAAGTATGGGCGTATATTGTGGTTGCCCTTGTCGGTCCGTCCGTTCACATTTACCTCGTGCTCACTCTACAGGCTACAATTCTCTGTAGATTCTTTTGATCTTTTGTATGTGTTAATATCATTATGAAGATGTGCACTATTCAATTTGGTGATGATCCGATGATTTTCTTTAGAGATATCTTCATCAAGCTGGTGGTGGGCGTATTTGCTTGCGAGACTTGCCGCAAGCCTATGTTCTGATTTTTCAAGAAGATCTTGGCAACATAGTGTTATATTATCAACATAGCTTGATGAAATATTTGTAATTATTAAAAGTTTCAGAATTTAAATGACTAGAGTTACTTAAGGGTTTAGTTTTGCCACTTATTCTGTTAATGGCATTCCATATCGATTTTAAGCTTTTCTTATTGTTAACTAGGCACTTAAAATAGTCCTGTTTAGATTGATTATGGAGGTTTAAATGCGATTTCTTAAATATTTATATTCATAAAATTTTCCAAAATTTAAAAAAAATAATCACATGAATTCATATCATTTAGTTTTATAACCTATATAATCAATTTCTTTAAATTTTTCATCACTGGACTCTCCAGGCTATAATAAAATGTGACAATACAGAAAGCGTGTATTATTGTGGCGATGATACACATGTCACTTTTATGATGTTCATGACTGCATTAAGAGAATGTATTCTGCCTTGTAAGTAAGGACATATTGACATAAATGTGGTACATTTTATTGAATTTCTGCAGAACTGAATGTAACAATAACCAGGCTATAATTAGACTTTTTATTTTTTTTTTCAGAAAATTAAGAGATTGTGATGTAATATCTAAATCAGATCCTATGTGTGTTCTATTTATGTTAGATTTAAAACCACATCAATATAGAGAGGTGAGTCTATTTTTATTTTTCAATTTACATGGGTTGTTAATCTAGCTGAAAGTCTAGAAATTGAGAGGGTTATGAATCAAAGAGACTGAAAACTAGGCCTTTTCGATGAAGATATTTAGCTATTTTCTCTTTTAAAAACATTTTCATCCTTATCTCATTTCACTAATGAAACCAAGTGAGTGTAATCATATAATATTGAATTATTTCAGATTGCAAGAACAGAATGTATTAATGATAACTTAAATCCAGACTTTGTTAAGAAATTTGAAATTGATTATTATTTTGAAGAGAACCAAAAGTTGAAATTTGAAATGTAAGTAATAACTCTTAATGGATATGATCCAATGCCCTTAATACAAACTTTGTGAGTGATAGTATAGATAGAATGGTAGATATAGACAATGAGCCAGGTTTCAACAATGGTATTCTTTAATTGGAAGTACACAAAAGTTAGATCCTAACCTTGGTTCTATGTAATCATTATTATTTTGTAATTATATATTGTAGTTATGATGTAGATTCTGATAAAAGAAAATTATCTGATCATGTAAGTAGTTAAATACTAGAGGAGATATTTATAGAGACTACATATATATATAGTTATACCATAAGTGCCAGATAATTCAAAATATATGCTTTGTACAATGAGTGAACCTTTATAGTACTACTCAGATTTAAAAGAGAATTTCCATTTTGTTATTGCCTTTAAAATATTTCGTATGAACAGTAAATATTTTTTATATTTCAGGATTTTCTAGGGAAGTTAGAATGTAGTCTAGGAGAAATTGTTGGTTCTCATGGATCTTGTTTAAAAAGAAAACTAGTGTATGTTAGTTCTTAATTTCTTCATGGAAAGCTGATAACCATATTTTACAGCTAGATAGTTGTGAATGAAACTTTTTCTTAAAAAGTATTAAAAAGAGATATTTTAGCCTTTGTATGTTAATTGGGGACACTAGTAATTCAGGTTGTGCATTCTATTTACTGCTTAAAGTCTGTGATTCCTGTTATTTTATAAAACCTGCCCAGATTATCAATCCACTATATTGTTATATAGTTATATAATGCAATATCTGTCTTATATTTCAATTACACTTTAATACAGGAACCTTCAATCATTTGACAGTAATAATATACTTTAATACAATAATTTGTAATTTCCCTGTCTCTTCAATTTTTCAGAGGTCCAGCAACAGATAATGGTGCCATAATAGGTAAGTAAAATGCAACATTCTACTGTGTTTGTTTTTGCTGGTTTCTTCCGAATTATCATGTAATATTTGTGGAACTTTAAGTCTATATAAGTTTGCGGTCCTAATTTGAATAATTCCCCAACATTTTGAAAACCAAAACTCACAACTTCATGTAACCTGAAATGATGTGAAGGATAATTGGACTAGTATTTAAGTGTCACTGCTATGATATAAAGTTTATAAAAAGAATATTATGTACTATTTCAGTAAGAGCAGAAGAAATACTAGCTTGTAAGGTAAATATGGTCAGATTTTTTATCTTGACTACAATGATAAAAAAGATAGTTGTAGAGGATTATAGATCTTTTCAGCTTGCTTCTTATTCCATTTTACACTAATCATTCTCAAGTTTAAAGATAAAACTCTGCAATTATGATTTTATTCGCCCTGTAATGTTACTGTCTCATCTTTTGAATTATCTTGCAGGCCTTGTAATTTTGAAACTGTCAATCTAGTAATGAAATGTTGTTTTTTAGGAAGTCATCAATATGCATATAAAAGGTAGTGATTTGGATAAAAAAGATTTTTTTGGTAAATCGGATCCATATTTAACTATATCTAGAGCTAATGAAGATAGTAGGTGAGTGCTTCTATTATGTATATATATCTATTGATTTTATGCTAAGTTTAATGCTTGACTGCTAACCAGAGTGGTCCAGAGTTAGATATCAACCCTCAATGTGATGCAGGTCAGAGGGGCTGACATGGTAAATGCTTCTATATTACGCTTTTCAACTTTTCTTAGTGATCAAATTGACCGACATGGAAAAAGCTTCTAGTCAAAGGATTGAAATAGAGCTGGAAATGGAACAAGAGTAGGTCTTACTTAGTTCCAAAAGAACAATGGTGAAAATGATTTTGTAAAAATTTTGTTTATACCAATACAATATTTTCTGTATATGATTTTAGTTACACAGTTGTCCATAAAACAGAATTCATCAAAAACACATTAAATCCAACCTGGAAGCCCTTTCAGATCAAAGGATCAACATTATGCAATTCTGATCATAACAGGTAAATAATGAAGATTATTATAACATTCATTGAGCACCAAACTATTACTCTAGCAGATTGTTAGCAACAAATTGACTTAACTTTGACATTCAAGACAGGAAAGATATATATTCAGACAATCTTCCCTAAAAATTAAATATAGTCATCTGCTAATTTAGAGATTTATTTATATAGCACAAACCCAACTGTCCATAGATCTCTTATAATGCAAATGAAAACATGGCTGACAATCAGGGACACCAATAGTATATTTTAATTTATTGTAGAGGATGTAGATGTCAGATATTCATTCTGATAGAGCTACAGACAGCTGGTATTGAGCTTGACTATTTCTCGGCTGACTATACAGTCTGATACAGTTTGATACCAATATATATAATTTAGTTTCACTAGTTAACAGAAATAAATTTGTTTGTTTTGATAGGTATATATTTCTATCTTGTAGGACTATAAAGTTTATTTGTAATGATTGGAACAGTGATGGCAGGTTTGTCTTATTGTTTACTTATCACATTTCTATATGATACTTTTTACATGTAATACATTAAGAAAATATGATATAGATGATGCAAAACATGGACAAGTTCTCTGATTGTGTTGTTTTATTTTGATAAAAGTTGGCACATTAAACCAAAGCTGTAAGGGCATATATGCTTATAGCCTTAGTTGAAATGAGCCAACATATAGCTTCACCACCGTATCTCTTTGAAAATGACCTCCACATTGTGACTATTATGTTTATGTTAACAGTATCAAAGATCTGATGATGGTACATTGCAAAAGTTTCTTGTTCACTGAAATGATCAAACATGGAATATTCTTTTAATTAACTCTTAAAAATCTCAAAGTTTATCAAAATTCTTGAAAATCAGACCGGCAATAAGATAAATATTAGTATGATAACTATTGTGGTTATGTTTATATTTGATGATATTTCAGTGTAGATCTTATTGGTGAATTTGATACTAATGTTTTAGAGCTCATTCAGGGTCATAAGAAATCATTTGAGGTAATATATAGTATTGATTTATCTCATAATTTTCTCAGTTTCTTTTCTTTGTTAAAACAGCGCCAAGCACCCACTCGTCTATTCTTGGTTTCTATTGAACCTTCCCAACTTTCCTAGTCAGTTGAAAATCAAATATCTATTTGAATGTTATGAAAGCTATTGCAAAAAATTGCAAATGTCACAAAATCTGATAAGAATTAGAAAGTTAATGCTACTCCACTGTCAAAGCACTCTCCAAAGTCGACATTCATTTAATCTAATTCACATTACAGCTAAAAGAACAGAAAAAGGCAAAGAAGAAGAAGAATTATAAGAATTCTGGTATAATTACATTCCTTAACTTTGGAATAGAACAACAACATTCTTTTATAGATTATATTCGTGGAGGGTAAGGGTGTTATTTAATTTTATTTCTCATTCCCAAATACGAGATTTACCTGCTTAAGAAAAACACGCTAGAAATATGTAAGATAAAGAAAAAATGAATGAAAATCTGATTAGTTGTTTTAATCACTACACCAGTCAATCCAGTTTCTAAACGGGTCTGAATGATCCAAGTATATGCCATATCAAAGTATGAGTTGATAGAAATAGTATTTAACTTTATTACAGAATGCAGATGAATTTTACAGTAGCAATAGATTTTACAGCTTCCAATGGAAATCCACACGATCCTACCTCTTTACATTATTTATCACCTTATCATCTCAATCAGTATGCTGCAGCTATTACTTCTGTTGGTGAAATAATACAAGATTATGATAGGTAATTTCTATTACTTCTGTTAAATTTACATTATATTAATCCTGAACAACCAAATCAATATTCATCAGCTATTACTTCTGTTGGTGAAATAATACAAGATTATGATAGGTAATTTCTATTACTTCTGTTAAATTTACATAATATTAATCTTCAACAACTAAATCAATATTCATCAGCTATTACTTCTGTTGGTGAAATAATACAAGATTATGATAGGTAATTTCTATTACTTCTGCTAAATTTACATTATATTAATCTTCAACAACTAAATCAATATTCATCAGCTATGACTTCTGTTGGTGAAATACTACAAGATTATGATAGGTAATTTCTATTACTTCTGTTAAATTTACATAATATTAATCTTCCACAACTAAATCAATATTCATCAGCTATTACTTCTGTTGGTGAAATAATACAAGATTATGATAGGTAATTTCTATTACTTCTGCTAAATTTACATTATATTAATCTTCAACAACTAAATCAATATTCATCAGCTATGACTTCTGTTGGTGAAATAATACAAGATTATGATAGGTAATTTCTATTACTTCTGTTAAATTTACATAATATTAATCTTCCACAACTAAATCAATATTCATTAGCTATGACTTCTGTTGGTGAAATACTACAAGATTATGATAGGTAATTTCTATTACTTCTGTTAAATTTACATAATATTAATCTTCAACAACTAAATCAATATTCATCAGCTATTACTTCTGTTGGTGAAATAATACAAGATTATGATAGGTAATTTCTATTACTTCTGTTAAATTTACATAATATTAATCTTCAACAACTAAATCAATATTCATCAGCTATTACTTCTGTTGGTGAAATAATACAAGATTATGATAGGTAATTTCTATTACTTCTGCTAAATTTACATTATATTAATCTTCAACAACTAAATCAATATTCATCAGCTATGACTTCTGTTGGTGAAATACTACAAGATTATGATAGGTAATTTCTATTACTTCTGTTAAATTTACATAATATTAATCTTCCACAACTAAATCAATATTCATCAGCTATTACTTCTGTTGGTGAAATAATACAAGATTATGATAGGTAATTTCTATTACTTCTGCTAAATTTACATTATATTAATCTTCAACAACTAAATCAATATTCATCAGCTATGACTTCTGTTGGTGAAATAATACAAGATTATGATAGGTAATTTCTATTACTTCTGTTAAATTTACATAATATTAATCTTCCACAACTAAATCAATATTCATTAGCTATGACTTCTGTTGGTGAAATACTACAAGATTATGATAGGTAATTTCTATTACTTCTGTTAAATTTACATAATATTAATCTTCAACAACTAAATCAATATTCATCAGCTATTACTTCTGTTGGTGAAATAATACAAGATTATGATAGGTAATTTCTATTACTTCTGTTAAATTTACATAATATTAATCTTCAACAACTAAATCAATATTCATCAGCTATTACTTCTGTTGGTGAAATAATACAAGATTATGATAGGTAATTTCTATTACTTCTGCTAAATTTACATTATATTAATCTTCAACAACTAAATCAATATTCATCAGCTATGACTTCTGTTGGTGAAATACTACAAGATTATGATAGGTAATTTCTATTACTTCTGTTAAATTTACATAATATTAATCTTCCACAACTAAATCAATATTCATTAGCTATTACTTCTGTTGGTGAAATAATACAAGATTATGATAGGTAATTCTATTACTTCTGTTAAATTTACATTATATTAATCTTGAACAACTAAATCAATATTCATCAGCTATGACTTCTGTTGGTGAAATAATACAAGATTATGATAGGTAATTTCTATTACTTCTGTTAAATTTACATAATATTAATCTTCCACAACTAAATCAATATTCATTAGCTATTACTTCTGTTGGTGAAATAATACAAGATTATGATAGGTAATTTCTATTACTTCTGTTAAATTTACATAATATTAATCTTCAACAACTAAATCAATATTCATCAGCTATGACTTCTGTTGGTGAAATAATACAAGATTATGATAGGTAATTTCTATTACTTCTGTTAAATTTACATAATATTAATCTTCCACAACTAAATCAATATTCATCAGCTATTACTTCTGTTGGTGAAATAATACAAGATTATGATAGGTAATTTCTATTACTTCTGCTAAATTTACATTATATTAATCTTCAACAACTAAATCAATATTCATCAGCTATGACTTCTGTTGGTGAAATACTACAAGATTATGATAGGTAATTTCTATTACTTCTGTTAAATTTACATAATATTAATCTTCCACAACTAAATCAATATTCATTAGCTATGACTTCTGTTGGTGAAATACTACAAGATTATGATAGGTAATTTCTATTACTTCTGTTAAATTTACATAATATTAATCTTCAACAACTAAATCAATATTCATCAGCTATTACTTCTGTTGGTGAAATAATACAAGATTATGATAGGTAATTTCTATTACTTCTGTTAAATTTACATAATATTAATCTTCAACAACTAAATCAATATTCATCAGCTATTACTTCTGTTGGTGAAATACTACAAGATTATGATAGGTAATTTCTATTACTTCTGTTAAATTTACATAATATTAATCTTCAACAACTAAATCAATATTCATCAGCTATTACTTCTGTTGGTGAAATAATACAAGATTATGATAGGTAATTTCTATTACTTCTGTTAAATTTACATAATATTAATCTTCAACAACTAAATCAATATTCATCAGCTATTACTTCTGTTGGTGAAATAATACAAGATTATGATAGGTAATTTCTATTACTTCTGTTAAATTTACATTATATTAATCTTCAACAACTAAATCTAAATGGTAGATCTCAGATTAAGTTGCTGTTGATATTAGTACAAATTGTTATATTTTACAGTGACAAGTTATTTCCTGCTCTTGGTTTTGGTGCCAGACTACCTAATAATGCTGTATCTCATGAATTCGCTTTAGTATGTATCTTTTTCTTTCTTTTTCTGAACTCTTTGTACAGATTAATTGTGTACTCATTTCAAAGAGTTTAAAGACTATATGTGGATTTTTCTATTCCTCTGTCAATAAAGCAGTTCAGAGGGGCTGGCATCATTGACATTGCAAAAGTGTCTTGGCTTTGCAGAGAAAAGATTATTTGATAGTTGTAAATAGAAATACAGTAATCTTATGTCACTATCCTTTAAAAATATCTCTCATTGTACACAGTGTGTCTTCATTAGCTCAATTAAAACGTAGGTTGTGAAACTACATTTCATGTTATAGTATTGGTATGATTTTTAGACTGTTGAGTTCTGTTATTTTTTTATAGAATTTCAACCCTAACAATCCATATTGTAATGGTGTTCAAGGAGTGTTACAGGCATATTATAATGCTATAAGGCATGTACAACTGTATGGTCCTACAAATTTTGCTCCTGTCATAAACCATGTTTCTCAGTAAGTTCATTGCTTTTAATCATTGAATCACAATATTCTGAGAGATGTTGAGATATTTTATGTATATTGCAATGCACTTTTTATTGTTATCATTATTATATTTTCCGAACTTTTGTAGAATTGCTGCTACTGTATTTTGTTGATTTTTAGATTTGGTGATAATGCTACTGTATTAGATGGTTTAACACTTTTTGTTGATTTTGTATATTTGTTGTTACTGTATTTTGTTGACTTTATAGATTTGCTGCTACTGTATTTAGTTGATTTTTTATATTTTCTGCTACGGTATTAGATGGTTCACAGTAGTTTACTGATTTTGTAGATTTGTTGTTACTGTATTTTGTTGATTTTGTAGATTTGCTGCTACTGTATTTAGTTGATTTTTTATATTTTCTGCTACAGTATTAGATGGTTCACAATAGTTTACTGATTTTGTAGATTTGCTGCTACTGTATTTTGTTGATTTTGTAGATTTGTTGCTACTGTATTTAGTTGATTTTTTATATTTTCTGCTACAGTATTAGATAGTTCACAATAGTTTACTGATTTTGTAGATTTGCTGCTACTGTATTTAGTTGATTTTTTATATTTTCTGCTACGGTATTAGATGGTTCACAGTAGTTTACTGATTTTGTAGATTTGTTGTTACTGTATTTTGTTGATTTTGTAGATTTGCTGCTACTGTATTTAGTTGATTTTTTATATTTTCTGCTACAGTATTAGATGGTTCACAATAGTTTACTGATTTTGTAGATTTGTTGTTACTGTATTTTGTTTATTTTGTAGATTTTCTGCTACAGTATTAGATGGTTCACAATAGTTTACTGATTTTGTAGATTTGTTGTTACTGTATTTTGTTCATTTTGTAGATTTGCTGCTACTGTATTAGATGGTTCGCAATATTTTGTGTTATTAATTATAACTGATGGTATTATTACTGATTATAGTAAAACTGTCGATGCTATTGTCAGGGTGAGTAGACTTTCCATCTTAACATTTTAGAACTGTAACAATAAGACATCATAGATCACTGCAGAGATTACAGAGATTGATAGATCAGTCAACCTCAAGAAAAGGATACATTACTTTTTAGCAGATCTCCGATTTGTAATAAGTATTTTTGAATAGTTAAATAAAACACCGTATTATTTATTGTATTTATGGTATTTTTCCAGGCCTCAACTCTACCAATGTCTATTATAATTGTTGGTGTTGGGGATGCTAATTTTGAAGGTAATTACAAAGAGTAATTAAGTAGGTTGTAACAGAATGACTACTGTATTATCACAATATTTGAGCTTGGATAAACTTCTTTTTACAAGTTAATAATCAATCCTTGAGGCACCTTTTTGGTAGAGATCACATTGGATTACAGATTACAATTGTATGTATACATGCACCACTCCTGAGTTTTATTGTGCACAATGTTTCCTTTAACAATTTACAATCACAAAATTGTTCCTTGACCAGGTGTAGATAATTATTATTTAGTCATGGTATTAAATAATATTGTTTAACTATTTGATAATAGAAATGGAAAAATTAGATGGTGATGATGTCAGATTAAGTTCACAAGGAAAATATGCTGAAAGAGACATTGTTCAGGTATATTGTCTAAGGCTATGAAAACCCTATCAAAGTCTTGCTGGAAAGTTCAAGTGTGCAAGCATCTAGTAAAACCAAGACAAGTATCAGGCTATTACTGTCACATGATTGCAGCCTTCTTATAGATTTGATTTTTTAAGTAAAGAGATGCATCCAAATGCTAAAATGTTTGGATTCAAGATAAAGTCAATTAAGAGAATTACAATTAACATTCAATTTTGATATTGAGAGAACTTATCAAATTGGATTTCATTTATTTACATCTAATGATAATTATTGTATTGTTGTAGTTTGTTCCATTCCGTAATTTCCTGAGTAATGGTGTAAATGTAGAGAGTCAAGCTAGATTAGCGAAGGAAGTGTTAAGAGAAATACCGCATCAAGTCAGATCTTTTATGAGTAAAAGAGGTATAGCACCTAGACCACCACTACATAGATCAGATAGTTTATCAAACGTAGCTAATGTACCATCTGCTCCTCCTCCTGCTTACAGTAGTGATATGACAGGATTACCCTCTACCCCACCTTATCAACAATAGTGCTACCAGCCAACATCCAGATCTATCAAGGCATTCATCTTCAATGACATACATTAGAAGTACAAGTTATAGATAAATAAGACAATTATTATGGATAGATATGTTTTACTGTGGTTCTCACACTCACTCTAACACTGTCATTCACCATTCTTAATGACGATACGAGAATGTTTGAAATAATAAGTAATCTAGAAGTATCCAACTAAAATAATTGTCTTGTATATCAGGTCTATTATGCCAACAGTATGCTTACTCTTTACTTTTATATAGGGCAGAGTTTTGTTTCATCTGGGCACAATTTTAAACATAAACAATAGTAGTTTAACTAGTTTATAGTAAAGTAAAATTCCTACTTTTGACATTTTGTTTTTGACATTTCTAGTACTTCTATTTACATATATGCAAATCATCCCCCGAAAATGGTAAATCTGCTCCTTAAGACTACTTTTAAATAATGTAGACTGCTGAAAGTGCTCATGTTTATGCTATGAATCGTTCCTAATAGTGCACAAATATATTGACTATAAAGATTTTAGAGTTGAATTAGAAACATTAATATAAGTAGTTTCCTATTTTGAAGAGCAATGTATTAGTTTAGTCTAGCATGTAGGTCTATAGATTGTATTTATTCTACCTAAATGATAAATACTCTACTTTTGTTTCTATTTGGGACAATCCCAAGATGTGTCTAGATACTTATTAAGTGACATGGTTGATGTAATATTTGTTGAATACAAATCCTATATTGGTCAATTCTGGTATAATAATTTTATACTGTAAATAAACTTTTGTTTTAAATTTTAGATACAATATAGTCAAAATGAACCATACATATTATAATTTTTATCTATCAAAACCATTCATTCAAAACTGCCTTTGTATCGCCAAAAATTAAAAATCAAATCAGGTATATAATTGTTAGCATCATTCATAAATCAAATTTAATACTGACCTTATGTTAAGGCTGGACAATTAATAGACCATAATATATACCATTTTTCATTAACATTATTAAATAACCCTTTGTTTTAAGCTGTTTCTGATTTATTGTGATTTATAATTCTCAGTAAAGATATATGTTATATATACATGTATTATGTGTCTGTCAAAGTCACCCAGTGATATATTACTTATTGATTTTGTGAACTTAATTTTCATTTTTACATTTAATTAATCCTCATTTATTGCAATTAATGGTTGTAACAAACACAGTACAATGTTCAGTTTTTACTCTGCGTTGGGACTAAATTATTGATGTTTCAAACTATAAAAAATCTTCACATAATTGTTGTGCTATGAAAAGTGTTATAAGCTTAAATATGCTTATTATATATCCATTTAACTCTCTTCTTATATTAAATAAAACACAATGACATAGTGAAATAGATGTGTCTTTAATATTGAATAAAAATTCCTTATTCTTGTGGCCTTAAATACTGTAGCCCTTTTATCAGATTATCAAATAAATATATATGTTATATTCCTATATGTAGGTTTACATTACTTTTAATTCATCACAAATTGCTCAAAGTTATTTTATGTTATATTTGTTAGTGTGTTTTGTATAGTATAATTATATTTATTAGAGTAGGGCTTGTCGTGTTCATGAACACTTGATAAATCTTTCTTTGATACATGTAGACTGAAATTGTCTGAATATCGTGTATTTTTACAAGGGATATAGATATTTACGATACAAGCTGATTGAGCCCAATTTCAGCTGCCTGTATCACACCATATGTTGTTGTTAGTGCATAATATAAACTAATGAAATTGTAATATTTATATGTGAATTTAATATTTTATAATGAATATTGAGGAAACTGTGTTATGTTTTTATAAGATTTTTTAAAGAAGGGTATATTATTAAAGTATAATGTTGTTAGTTATAGTCAAGCAAAGATATTTATGCACATATTTGCACATCAGATGCTAAACATAAGCATGAGCAGACCACTTGATACACAGATTAGATTTACACTGCTGATTATCATGGTTATACCTACAAATTTGACCATTCCTGTTTATGTTTGGAATCAGCACTGGATGTATAATTACATTAATATCTTTGCTTGACATGTATATGTATTGTTTGTAGATCATAAAATGTTCTTAATTGGACAGTGATGATTTTATTATTATATTCAAGTACTACATCTATTTCAGTAAACAATTTGTAGATGATGTATTTCTCATTTGAACTATGTCCTTTGGCTTATTTTGTACTAATAAAGTTAAATATTTAAGAATGACTTCCATTTGCCTGTAAGCAGTTAACTTCTGATGTTTTCACCTTGATAAGTAAATGAACATGGTGTGCAGTATGGTCGCTGGATGGAAAAAATCTCCATTCATTTACATGGCCACATAGTTATGAAGGTGTTACAAATTCAACAATTGTATCGGAGTGAAATCTTCAATTGAAAATACCAAGTACACACTATTAAGATCTTTCAAGAGAATTTCAAACTAGTCAGATCCAAACAAAAGATCCAAGGCCCTAGTTAGGATATGATCCTAAACCCTATTTACACAACTGTGTTAAAGAATTTTCTGCCCATTAATCCTTGGTCCTAGATGAAGTAAGGGCCCAAGATATCTTGGCTACCCAAAGCCATAAAAACTTGCATTACTGACACAGGTTTGAAAATTCTTAAGATCGATGTTTTGACTTGAATTTTGATCAAGCAAACTAGCACCTTCCACTAAGCTGCCAGGGCTCTAAATACACAGTTATAAAGACCATATTCTCACTGTTATTTATCTGAGAGAAAGTAAGAATCAACCAATAACACAAAAATATCAAAAGCTTTAAAATTTAATAGACTCTTTAGAAAGAAACAAATAGATTTTAAAATTAAAATCTAAAAATACACAATAACAGTCCATACATATAATAATATATATATAAAACAAAGAATTCAAAAAGAAATTTATGCCTGGTTTTTCACAATGGTTAATAATATTTATGATCTGTGTTAGATTACTAGGAGAGTTTTAAATTCTCCATGTATTTCTGATTAAAACTGGAAGACTACAACTGTATGTTGAAGAATTAAACCTACACATACAACCCTCAGCACTGATTGGGTGATGGCATAACAGCAGGTGTATAGCTTACTCATCTGGAGCAAGTGTATACCATTTAATCCATAATCAACCAAAAATAATAAGCTGTGTTTACACTGTCTTGCAATATGGCTTGTCAGAAGTAAACCGTTCTAGGTTCCGTAATTTTTGGCAGTCTAAACATGGCTTATAGAGACATTATTAGTATTTTTGCACTAGTTCTACTAGTTTCTTGATTATTCCTGAGATTACAACCAAAAGTCTTTCTTACAATTTGTTTAAAAAGTGAGACTTGCTGGATTCTTGACCAAGGTAACAATTAATAGCAGCATTAGAAATTTGATTTATATAACACACTGCATTGGAATGAAATATACCTCATTATAAATAAAACATATTGTAACAAATAACAATCAATTCTAAATTACCAGTATCTTATATTTGCTATACACAATAGAGATCATATCTAAGTGACCTCCATGCTGCAACAAAGTTTCATTGCATCGAAAATTATTTTTAGTTGAATAGTAAGAAATAATACTAAGCTCGTGCACCTAGGGCCTATAAAAAAAAACAGTTTATATTTTAAAAACCACTAAATATAACCTAAAACATTTCTACTCCAAGCCAGGCACATTGAAAAACATACCACTAAATATTTCATAGAAAGCTGAGATTCTGTGTTAAAATATATAACACATTTAAAATTCTACACATTTTACAATCCAGCCACTTTTCTTTCAATCTTAAAACTTCTTATCCTATTTCTTTTTTCTTTAAATCTAAAATTAAATTTTCATAATTGTAAAAAATCAATGACGTATCAAAATTTTTTACAATTTCAAATTCTATTTGTCTATTTCAAAATTCATATTTCAATGTTTAAATATTCTATCTTGAAATTTAAACAAGGCAGTAAATAAATTCTTGACAATTTGACAAGTTTCACACAGAATCCCAGCTTTAACAATGATAAAATACTATGACAGCACTTGTGATAAGTCACAGAAATATTATACAATATTGATATGTAATATATAATAGGCAAAATCTCTTAGTAAAAAAACTCTTTTAAGATGGAGTTCCAAGCTCATTAGGACAAAAACAACGCATGATTAAAATGATGTTTTTAATGAATTATGGGGGGAAAGAAACTGACTTTGACTAAGAAAAATACATTTTTTTCACCAAGTGATCAGGAGACATATAGATGTAACTTGGTCACATTGAAAAGCACCATACTTATTTCACATTTTATCTTTCAAGTTTTCCAATATCTGCAAAGCAAACTCAACTTAATTAAACAATAGAACCAGACAGGATTGTACCAATAAACATGGTATTTCTGGCAAACTTGTATTTGTTATATCTTAAAATTTGGATGAACATAATGGTGAAAGGTAAAAACAATTAAAATTCTATACATCTAAAAGTGGTTGGCCTTGGGAAATTTTGAAATCTTTCATTATAGTTTGAAGGGATTACTCTCATGTAGTGATTTTGTATATTGGTCCCAAGTCTTGTTATTTCTTTCAGTTTAACAATAAAACTTTCTGATATATCAAAACAATGCCTGAAGTTCAAAATTCCACATTTAAATCTTTGAATACTTTAGAATTATAATTTTGATTAAGGAGGAGGTGGAGCTGATGCTCTCTTTGGCAAAGGAACCCCAGGTGGTGGTTGTGCATCACCCATTGGTGGGTATGGAGGTTGGGAATTTCCAGTGTGTGCACCACCTGCTTGAGGGTATGGAGCTTGAGAACCTCCTGTTTGTGGGTAAGGTGCTTGTGAACCCCCTGTTTGTGGGTAAGGAGCTTGTGAACCCCCTGTTTGTGGGTAAGGTGCTTGTGAACCCCCTGTTTGTGGGTAAGGAGCTTGTGAACCCCCTGTTTGTGGGTAAGGAGCTTGTGAACCCCCTGTTTGTGGGTAAGGTGCTTGGGAACCCCCTGCTGGTGGGTAAGGTGCTTGTGCACCTCCTGTTTGTGGATAAGGTGCTTGGGAACCCCCTGTTTGATGATATTGTGAACCTCCTGATTGTGGGTATGGCACATTTGCGGTCTGAGATTGACCCATAGATGGGTATGGGGTTTGAGCATTGTTACCAACAGGAGCTGGTGGCACTGGTCCTCGTGAATTACCCATTGGAGGAGGTGGTGCTGCACCTCTTTGGCTACCCATCGCTGTAGGTTGAGTATTTACAACTGATCGGGCATTTTGTGATGGTTTTTGTGGTGCAATTCCCCTTTTCTTCATGTACTGTACCACTTGTTCTGGAACCTCTGCTAAAATTTCTTTAGCTAAATATCCTTTACTTAAATTCATATCATTTCCATATCTCCCTCCAATAAAATCTCTAAATGGTACAAACTACAAATTAAAACATTAGAATTCAACTATCACATGGTTGGATTACACACATAACACCATAGATGAAAATTGGGAAACAGGTTAAGTTTACTGATAATCAAGCACTGATATATTAGCTCTATGAAATATTTACCTGTACTATATCTCTTTCAGCATAATTACCACGGTAACTTAATCTATCATTGTCAGAATCTAATTCATCCATAGCTAGAAAATAAAACAAAATGGAGTTTTATACCCTTTATACTCTTCTGCACTTCTGTGATCTGATAAAGATGAGCCAACTACATAGTGTGCACTTTGAAATAAATCTGGGACATACATGATGACACAATAGTGATCTGATATCTGCAATATGGCAGCATTACTGACAAGGGAAAATCAGTTTGAAAACTTCTTCATGGCATCTCAAAGTTGAACCAGAAATTAAAGTAAAATGATATTTATATGCAACTTGTGTCAGTTAAATGTATTATTATGACTTAAAATACACATTCATATTATCTCAATCAAATCACCCACCATCAAATTCAGCATCTCCTACACCAACTATAATAATAGACATCGGCAATGCAGAACACTGAAAATAAACAATATTCAATTTGTAGTATTTCACTTTATAGATAACATACCATACAATTGGCAACATAATGTACATCCATGTACACCTTCAAACAAATCTGGAAAATTCAATGTCACCGCAAATAACCTGCATTCTTTCAGTTCCATCAATGATGCTGGTTTATGTCAAATTATCTAAGCTTTTGTTTGTGATGTTATATGTTGAAATGGTTTTCAGAAATACTTTTTTACCTTGACTATAGCTTCTTTAGTATAATTCATGTCAGATATTACACCATCAGTTATAATTAATAATACATAATAATTACTACCATTCACTGATTGAGCTGCAAATCTATAACATAATACAAAGACAAGATAACATACGACTACCCACAGCTATGTCATATTTACACAATATTTTTATTTCACTTGGTCATATACCTGCATATTTTTCATGTGAATATTGTTAGTGATTCATGGCGAATGGGCTCTATTTAGTGGAACAATAAATCAAGGTTCCTTGGGCTTTAACCTCCACAGTTACACACAAAGAAAACGAGAGAGGAGAAAATTGCTATAATGGCATAAACATTAAAATTCTCATCACTTAATTTTCAATATATTTTCATCTCTGATTAAAAGTCTTAGGATGTACCTTGATGAACAATTTATAGAAGTTAAACAATAGTTTATATTTGAGATCTTACCTTGCTATATGATTAATTACAGGAGCAAAGTTAGTAGGACCATATAGTTGTACTTTTGTTATACAATTATAATAGGCCTGTAATATACCTCCAACACCAGCACAATATGGATTATTAGGATTAAAATTCTATAAACATAAGCAATGATAATATTAAAACAATATCAGCAAATTACTTGCCCTCACAGAGAACAGATGATTCTTCCCTATGAGAATATTTCACCATTTTTGTAGTCTTATATTTCAGTAATGATTTCATTGATAAAGTACATTTAGAACACCCAAAGGTTGTCACTTTTAAACTGTTACACTGTTAAATGACATTAAAGGGTTTATGTTCCAGGAGTTTTTGTGCACCACTACTTTTTATGTTTCAACATCATTGCTTCGAATGATTAAAACAACATTGGTGTCATAAACTACACTAATTGTTTAGAATCTGAAAGGTGGATTATTTAGTCAAATTTTCCAAACTAAGAAAAGATTAGCTGGAAATGTTATTGGTTTTATAAGAATTAATCATACACATTTGACTTACCACAGCAAATTCATGAGATATACTTCCATCAGGTAATTTAGCTCCAAACCCCAACACTGGAAATACCTTATCACTGAAAAATACAGTTACATATAACGAACAGAAGTAATAGCCGATGAAAATTGATTTGGTTGTTGAGAATTAGTATAATGTAAATTTAACAGAAGTAATAGAAATTACCTATCATAATCTTGTATTATTTCACCAACAGAAGTCATAGCTGATGAATATTGATTTAGTTGTTGAGAATTAGTATAATGTAAATTTAACAGAAGTAATAGAAATTACCTATCATAATCTTGTATTATTTCACCAACAGAAGTCATAGCTGATGAATATTGATTTAGTTGTTGAGACTTAATATAATGTAAATTTAACAGAAGTAATAGAAATTACCTATCATAATCTTGTATTATTTCACCAACAGAAGTAATAGCTGATGAATATTGATTTAGTTGTTGAGGATTAATATAATGTAAATTTAACAGAAGCAATAGAAATTACCTATCATAATCTTGTATTATTTCACCAACAGAAGTAATAGCTAATGAATATTGATTTAGTTGTTGAAGATTAATATAATGTAAATTTAACAGAAGTAATAGAAATTACCTATCATAATCTTGTATTATTTCACCAACAGAAGTAATAGCTGATGAATATTGAATTAGTTGTTCAGGATTAATATAATGTAAATTTAACAGAAGTAATATAAATTACCTATCATAATCTTGTATTATTTCACCAACAGAAGTAATAGCTGATGAATATTGATTTAGTTGTTGAAGATTAATATAATGTTAATTTAACAGAAGTAATAGAAATTACCTATCATAATCTTGTATTATTTCACCAACAGAAGTAATAGCTAATGAATAGTGAATTAGTTGTTCAGGATTAATATAATGTAAATTTAACAGAAGTAATATAAATTACCTATCATAATCTTGTATTATTTCACCAACAGAAGTAATTGCTAATGAATATGGTTGTTGAAGATTAATATAATGTAAATTTAACAGAAGTAATAGAAATTACCTATCATAATCTTGTATTATTTCACCAACAGAAGTAATAGCTAATGAATATTGATTTAGTTGTTGAAGATTAATATAATGTAAATTTTACAGAAGTAATAGAAATTACCTATCATAATCTTGTAGTATTTCACCAACAAGAAGTAATAGCCGATGAAAATTGATTTGGTTGTTGAGAATTAGTATAATGTAAATTTAACAGAAGTAATAGAAATTACCTATCATAATCTTGTATTATTTCACCAACAGAAGTCATAGCTGATGAATATTGATTTAGTTGTTGAGACTTAATATAATGTAAATTTAACAGAAGTAGTAGAAATTACCTATCATAATCTTGTATTATTTCACCAACAGAAGTAATAGCTGATGAATATTAATTTGGTTGTTCAGGATTAATATAATGTAAATTTAACAGAAGCAATAGAAATTACCTATCATAATCCTGTATTATTTCACCAACAGAAGTAATAGCTGATGAATATTGATTTAGTTGTTGAAGATTAATATAATGTAAATTTAACAGAAGTAATAGAAATTACCTATCATAATCTTGTATTATTTCACCAACAGAAGTAATAGCTGATGAATATTGAATTAGTTGTTCAGGATTAATATAATGTAAATTTAACAGAAGTAATAGAAATTACCTATCATAATCTTGTATTATTTCACCAACAGAAGTAATAGCTGATGAATATTGATTTAGTTGTTGAAGATTAATATAATGTAAATTTAACAGAAATAATAGAAATTACCTATCATAATCTTGTATTATTTCACCAACAGAAGTAATAGCTGATGAATATTGAATTAGTTGTTCAGGATTAATATAATGTAAATTTAACAGAAGTAATATAAATTACCTATCATAATCTTGTATTATTTCACCAACAGAAGTAATAGCTGATGAATATTGATTTAGTTGTTGAAGATTAATATAATGTTAATTTAACAGAAGTAATAGAAATTACCTATCATAATCTTGTATTATTTCACCAACAGAAGTAATAGCTAATGAATAGTGAATTAGTTGTTCAGGATTAATATAATGTAAATTTAACAGAAGTAATATAAATTACCTATCATAATCTTGTATTATTTCACCAACAGAAGTAATTGCTGATGAATATGGTTGTTGAAGATTAATATAATGTAAATTTAACAGAAGTAATAGAAATTACCTATCATAATCTTGTATTATTTCACCAACAGAAGTAATAGCTAATGAATATTGATTTAGTTGTTGAAGATTAATATAATGTAAATTTTACAGAAGTAATAGAAATTACCTATCATAATCTTGTAGTATTTCACCAACAGAAGTAATAGCTGATGAATATTGATTTAGTTGTTGAGAATTAATATAATGTAAATTTAACAGAAGTAATAGAAATTACCTATCATAATCTTGTATTATTTCACCAACAGAAGTAATAGCTGATGAATATTGATTTAGTTGTTGAGAATTAATATAATGCAATGAAGTAGGATGAGAAGGATTCCCATTGGAAGCTGTAAAATCTATTGCTACAGTAAAATTCATCTGCATTCTGTAACAAAAATGATGACATGATATATACACAAAATAAGAAAAGAATTAGAATTTATGTCAAATCCAAACTATCTGATTGAATTTATTACAAAAAGGTAGCTTTTACACCATTGTTATTTACCATCCTTTACTTATTAACCTTATTAATATAATCTCACATACCCTCCTTTAATATAGTCTAGGAATGAATGAATCTGTATAATTCTAGAACTCATCAGTGTAACCTGTAAACATTAATCATTATTCTTATAATTTATACAGCATTTTATACAGACATAACTATTACATTCAACATTGGTTATGGATTATCATGTACATAGATTTTCTTTGGGCAATAATGTAATTCTTTTTGAAGCCTTATTATGGTTCCTTGTCATTTTGAGGAACACAATGTCTAAAATGGAATTAATAAACAGTTTTCATGGCATTTCATATTATGTAGCCTTCAAACTATATATTATTGGTAGGAAGGCAAAACCGAAGCATGATTTTTGTTTGCTTTCTTGAAAATGAAAAGTACAGTGCTGACGATACTAAAGTAAGATGAGTTAATCAAGGTCACCAGTCTTTGTTTCCATATTAGTGTAATTTGATTTGAACAGTAAATTATATTCTATTCTTGAATACACATCTGATCAAAATTATTTAATAAAGAACCAAACCTGTCCTGAATCTTTGTAACTTTTCTTTTTTGCTTTCTTCTTATGATTTATAACCTAAATAACAGAAAAAAACCTCATTTACCGTAAAGTAGTGCAAAGGAAACGTTACCCTTTTATCTTTTATGTATTTTTATACTTATAAGGCACCTGAATATATTTGTATATATCTGGAGAATTTATTCTTTAATTTCAATATTCACTGAAAGCATACCTGATACTCATTATGTGCACCAGGTCCTTTAGCTAATTCACGTAAATTAGTTGTAAATTCACCAATCAAATCATGACTGAAAGACAATAAAGGTCAATATCAACACTTACTACAGAAGGTCAAACTTATTAGAGAAATTTCTGAAGTATTTACAGTGGTGTAACCTATTTTCGTGGATATAAGGATTCAACGCCGAATTTCATCAAAGTTAAAAAAAACAAAACAAAATTTTTATGTCTTAGAAGTTTCCTCAGATATTCTACAAAATAATTAAAATTTGTTTATTTCGATTTTCTTTATGAATCCTTCACTTTGACCCATATTTCATGAGCAACTCGGCAACTGCGGCAGAATGCGTCACCTATTTTCGTGTACAATGTTTGATCTATAAATAAGTCGAGAAAAACATGTTGTATAGATACCGGGTGGTATAATTAACTTCTCTTAGTATTTATCTTTAATATCAATTCATTATAACTAGTGACAATTCCTTCAAAGAACCACGATTTAAAAAAAAAATAGTGACTGACAAAATAAGATATGCAGCGTGATTTATTGTTATAAGTCACTGAAACAACATAAGAATATGGTCCACTTTGTGTTCCATAGAAATTTTCTGCTGACACGGAATCCGCTAGTTGATCACGTGACTTCATTCGTTGGACTACATTCTAGCAGACGACACTTATAATTCCGATTACCGCTTGAGATTATAAGGAAATTCAGTCGAAAAAAAATGGTGACGTTTGGTAATAACTGAAATCCGCCATTTTGTATTTGTCAAAGTATACATTAATACATTTTACCTTGCTTGAAACTACTGGATTCATTTTACTGGCTGATATTGTACAGAAAACCCATGTTTATCAAAACAAACTAATGCGGAGGTCGCGCAAGGTCGCTTATGTAAATTATTAATCATTTCCGAAAATCCACGAATAATAGGTTTCCACGAAATTAGGTTACTTGACAGTAATGTAAACTTTATCTGGAATGACACAAAAAGTCATGGCCATATCAAATACTTTCCCTAATCCTCGGGTTTTAAGGGATTTTTAAACCTTATATTCCTGTCAATGATACAAGTCAGAAGAGATTAAGTATCCTGAGTGGTCAACAAACCAGATAGATGATGTGGTCAAGGCAGTGTAAGATCCCTAGACATTGAAATTGAAAAAGAATAGACTAAATTAATTAGTCTGACTTAATAAAATACTGTACTTACGTGCCATCACTATCCCAATCATAACATTCTATCTTAATAGACCTACAAATACAGAGATATCATTAATATCATTACCAGGCTGTACAATAATCATTTTAAATACATGTTATGTAATTCAGGAAACATAGAATCTTTAGCGTGTCATTGTCCATGTATTAGCAAACAGTGAATCCAACTTCTCACTTCTCTAATCAACCTTTCCTGATGAGAATTGTACACCAGAATATGTGTAGTCAGCATGATATTAGCTCTTTTCATTTACTAAGCTCTATTTTACCATATAATATACATGTGTTAGGTACAAGATATTTGTAATAGTGTTAGGAATCAGAAGATTAAGTTCCAGTTTCAAACACTGTAAATACTGTTTTAATAAAGTATAGTTTTACCTGTCATAATCTCCATTACATAATGTTCTAACAGCTACACCAAATGGTCTCCATGTTGGATTGAGGTTATTCTTCACAACTTCTGTTTTATGAACAACTGTGTAGCTATTACATATAAAGTTAGGTAACAGTCATAATTACCAGGTAGGATACCTTCTTTTCGAAATATCTCCATTTAAAAACTAGCTAATGAAGTTATTTGTTGGGATTAATAAACAACTGATTGTGAATAATTGATTTTGTGGTTTAACAGACACATATAGTATTTTTACTTACCTATTGTCTTCATTAGCTCTATAAAATACCAGGAAAGGATCAGATTTACCAAAAAAATCTTTCTTATCTAAATTTTTTGCACTGAATTGTAATGAAATCTCTTCCTGAAATTTAAATATACAGAATTTGTGGTAGAAATGTTAGTCCATCAGTAGGTCTAAAACATCAAGAAACACTGTCAAAACAACTTTGACCTTAATGTCATCAAACTAAACGAAATATGACCAAAAATAGTTCAACATTATGATCATATGAAATTTAAACTTGGCCATAATTTGGCATACAGTTGGCAGATATTATTATCTGTTCTAGCTCTTTGGTTTTTGAAGTGTTAATGTTCATAGTGAGATCCAGAGTTAAAAGCAGCTAAGAAGAGATAAATTAAAAGGCAAAGAAGTAATTTGAGTGAAGAAACAGATAAGCCATTACCTTGTTTGTACACACTTCTTCCACTCGAACTGCAAAACAAAAATTCATTTTAACATTTATACAATCTAACACAAAAAACTACATAGCTTTAACAGAATTATTTCATTATTCATTTTGGCTGATCCAAATTGCTTTCAAATAATAACTCATATACTTACTGGTTATTGTACCAAAATTTCCACTACCATGACCCCTGAAAAACATAAATATTAAGATGGGTCCAATCTAATTTCTTAGATTAGATTTAATGATATCCAACTTAAAATAGATTGTGTGAAGAAGAATAATTTCAGTGTTTTCAGACCCTTTTAACTGACAAGAACTCACAGGCATCCTGCATTTATCATTAGAAAATTGACACAAAATTGTTTTAATTTCAGCAAATTTGCCAAAAGAAATGTGACCATTTCAACAATGGCCATTAATAATTAAGATATCTTTATTTATTAACCTATTACTCACACATTGTTTTGTCATGAAACTTGGTGAGATTAAATTAGCATCACCAGTTAATACAAAAGAATGCTGTGCACTGAAACAACTAGGTGTTCTGATTAATATTTCGCTTACCTCAATCTTGACTCAGTAGTTCCCCCTGGAGCACTGACTAGTTCACCAAGTGATGCTTCAAATGTACCCAAATAATCCTGTAATCGACATTTATAAACTCTGAATATGTATATCTTAGTGAATGCAATTAATCAGTATTTATCAAATGACCAATACTGTATTCTTGAACACATCTTGAACACATCCCAATAAGGCAATCACCCAAAAGTACTTAGGCCAAAAATCCAGAGCATCAAATGAATCTCTGAATGAGCATCCAGCTCAATTGAAATCTAAAAGGTTTTAAAAGTTACTACAAACAGAATCAGTGTGGAGAAGTATGCTGCTTACATGGTGATTTAATTTGGCACTAGGAGAATCAACATCATATCTAGAAATAAACAGATTAACATTGTTAAAATATACAAAACTTTAAAAGCTGTTGCTATCACCACTTCTTAATTTCCTTTAACTATGACGATACCTTTTTCTTGAACTTGTTAAGATTAGAGCCTATACTGTATAAATAGAAATACTATGACAGTATGCATAGCTATTTATTCTTGCTGAAAAGAACGCTGAGTTATTGAATCCAGAATCTAGTTTTCTAGAAGGGTTCAAACTTTGACTCTAGCAAACTAAACATATTTATCTGATGCAAATATTAGCATTGAAATTAAAATATTAAATCTAATTGTCTTACATTTCAAATCTCATGAGCTGACGTTCTTCAAAATAATATTGTACTAAAAACTTCTTTACAAACTCAGGATCTAAAGAATCTTTAATCATCTCAGTTCTTCCAATCTATAATAGGATAAAGAAATCATTGTCAAAGAATGGAATGTTTTGAAGATTTACAACGTTACCTAAGAAGAGGCTCTGACGACAGTTTTCAATGACGCACCAAAAGAATTGACAGTTGCCACGAGTTGCTTATTTCTTGTTGGATCCAAGTGGTCCAAACCCACATCTATCCAGATAACTGCAGTTGCTGCCGCTGGTAGATATTGAAGTTTTCCATATTGGAGTATAACTATAATAAATTCCATGAAATACTATTACATGCTGCCTAATGAAATCATTTGCTTGGTTACCACTGACAATGATAGAATTTGGTTGTCAAGAAGTAAGATCCTCTATCAAAATTTAATTTTTTCACCTCCTGATACGATTGGTTTTTAAATCCTTTGCTTTTTAAAACACACATTGGATCTGACTTGGAAAATGCATCTTTATCTCGCAGATTTCTGAAAAAATAGAACATTATGCAAATAATTGAGAATGTTTACAACTGCTTAATATCAAAAAGTTTTTATTATGAAATAATTGTGTGTTGGACTGTTCTAGTACACATTAAGTATTTCTACAACATTGAAACATAAAGTATCTTGCAGAAAAATTCAAGAAGTTTGTGCCAGTAACTTTTCTTATATATTTTTCATATTCTTCACTTTATCATCATTTCACCAGTTCATAATAAAATAAAATGATAAATGTACATAATGATAATAATGAGAAAGCCTCATACCTGCAGGATACACTGATTTCAACTTGAGTTGCAGGTACAACAGCAGATCCTGATTGAAAAACATCCATTACTGTAGACTGGGCCGAAAACTATATACTGAACAATGCTGTAGTCAGTAAACCTAGGCCTATCTCAAATCTACAAACAAAAAATATAATTCAATACCAGTATAGAAAAAAAAGTGTCAGCTACAAGCTCACTGAGCTAATCAGTCTATCACACATACATAATTACTGTGGTGTTTAATTCTCATTCTGCTGTTTTTCACACACTATGAATTACCTGTTGCAATACCTTAGGCAATATCTTATAACATTGTGTAACTCTGTTGGGGAAACAGTTGTCTGGCAGGTGCCCCTTGACTTGCATGTTTAATTGCTTAATAAACTTCTTAATGAATGAATATGTTGCCAACCCCACCCTTCTCAATTATTACCGTTAAAGTGTAGAGCCTATTCAATGCCATCAAACTAATATATTATCACATATCTCATCGGCAGCACCAGCAGTGTAACTTATGACAGTCAGTTGTGTCAGTCTAGGCTACTAGATTAACAGAAGGATGTTCATTCCGAAGGAAACAGCACTAACTTCTGGTTAGAAACTAACCAGAAACTAACATTTTCCTGAAATATAATGACAATCAATACTTACATGCACTTCACAAGACAGTCACAAGATTGGTATATCTGTTCAGTAACATCTTTCGTAATGATTGTATTAAATTTCAAAATGAGAATAATTTATTTGTTTTGAAGTGGGCAATGTCAATTGTAATGTCTGGATGTTATTTCTACTTAAGGGACTGAACTCTTTGATGAATACCTCAGGCCACAGTTGATTCTGTTTGAGTCAAAGAATACTTTTAAACTTAATCTTAAATCAGATATTTTTATATTGTAGTTTTTGATTGATATAACCTTTAAGAAAATATTTTGAAAACTCCTTTCACAGAGACTTCTAGTGATTTTAAGGTTAACGGTAATTTTTACTAATGAAATAGTATCAAAATTTAAATTTCAAAATTTTTATTCAACAGTCTGTAATATTGACCATCTGGTCAAGAATTTTCTAGGGTTTCATGATGACATTAAGATGCTCACATTTCTCCATCTAACCAAGTCAAATTATTTCATTTACAACAATCATCATATACCTTTACAGACTAAAATTAAATATTGAACAGCTTTGTAGATCAGCATGTCTAAAAAACTGTCAACACAACACCACTAACAGTAAAAGACAACCCATAAACTAGTCTTCATCATAAAAAATTCTAGGTTGTCATTAAAAATCAATATAATTTCTAGCAGCTGTGTTGTAAGTTTCTGTTTTAAATGTTAAATGACAAGTGCCAAGTTCTGAAAAAAAAACACATGAAGTTCGATAGCAGTCGGTTAGATTGTTGGTTCTTTACATGATGTCATTTGCTTGGTTACGTCGAGCGAATGGCAGCTGTGCGTTCAATTCTCAATTGGCGTGTGATAGTCAATGACTGAAAAGTCATCTTCATTTATAATTCCAGTCGACCCAGCTGTAAATGGGTGGATAAGCTGGGAAAGAGGTTTGGCCAAGGACCAGCTGGTAGAAAAGATCCATGACTGTGAACCCAAGTTGTTATCCTTGTAAAATATAGTTGTTTCTTTCTATCTTTCTATCTTTATTTCTTTCAATTCATACATAATAGATTTCAAGGGGTTAATAACAAGAATGAGATATTTTTAACTTTAATAATGAACTAACCCATCACAGACAATATGTTTTTCATACATAAAATACATAGAAAACAGTTAAAATGATATTAAAAAACATAAAATAGTATTCTGTCTGCCTTCTGCTGAATGTTTATCATATTCAAATATGAATTTCATGCCTGAATTAGGTGCTCATGTGAAAGTGGAACTTGATCAAAGTATAACCCAAAATACATTTCAAATGTATAAAAATTTTAAAGATGGCTATCCATGTGAAACTCATCAGTTATTGTAATAACTTAGAGAAATCCCATATAGAGATGAAAGGATCACCCTGAATAATCAAGAGAAAGATGAGACCTTAATATATGTCGCGTATGATTGTAATATCAATAAAAATACAAAATTCAAAAAAAAAAAAGAAGTAATAAGTAAGTGATCAACATCTGACAAAAGCATAGAGCAGAGGTCACTATCTTTTTGTGGGGGCTACTTTACACAAATTTTTTTGTCTGATTTTTAAATATCAAAATTGTTTCCATTTTTATATACATCGAATGCTAACAACAAAATTAAAATCTTAAGATTTATATTCCAGCCTATGTACAACTCTCCACATATGGTGCTCAATTCCACTTCCTTGCCACTTTTAGTTATCTACGCACCATAAACACTTTCATCACTGTATGCAATATATAAGAAAAAGTCTTCTTCATGATGTTCCTACAAAATAGCATCATAGCATCCAAATTATACACAATATCAGCTAACCTGTAAAACATTGTGTATCATTGCAGTGCACATTTCTATTGTAAAACTTTCAAACCCCATTTAGATTACGTTATTTAAATGTAACATAAGGAATCATTAATGTATGCTTTACAACTTCTATTATCATTGATATTAATTAGCTTCTCACCTGGTAAAGTTGACCCATTGTTGCACTGGTAGGGGGAATCACATTGTTTACAAAGAAAAACAAAGCATCTTCTGGTCTTAAATGAATTCTTTTTCTAATTAGAAAATAAAATTGACCAACAGTCAAATCTGAGGGAACTAAATATTTTTTCTTATCCAAGTCTCCAACTCGTGCTTTAGGTGCTTTTTCTACAATAACCTGAAAAGATAAAAATAGAATAATGAAGTATATTTCAGCAGAATTAGCTACTTTTATCATTGTATTGGCAACAATATTTTTTTCTATTACTATAAGACAGAACCAAGTCAAGGTCATAGATTATAAATGGATACCTGCTGCCTTTGAACAACAGCCAAACCAATCAAAACATAGCAAACCCTGAGACTTAGTTGAGGGCAGCCCTTGCCATATCCTTTTTTAATCTTTTATTACAGCTATTTTACTGATATTTTCTGCACAAAAAAGCTGATGCTGTTAAGAGTACCTGTCAAGCCGAAAGTCAACAATCATTTTTCATTCAGATGTCTGTGGTTCCTGACATCATAAAACACTTAGTTTTGGTAGAATTGCTAGAACCACAGATGCCTGATTGAAAATTGGAATGGTGCAAATTGATGCTATTATTGTCCCCGAAACACATACAATATTTAGAAAACCTCCTTACAATCCCTTTAATAGATCAGATTGAGCTATATCTCAATAACAAAGTCTGAGTGTCAAAACTGTATGTTGTTATTTATTATTAACAGTATTGTGAGCTCTCTTCCTAGTTAATTGATAATAAGCCTTCATGTTGGACTCTATTTATTGGTATATTGGTGGTTTGTGTTCTGCAAAGACTAGGCCTAATGTCATTGAACTAAGCTTGATCCAATTTGCATTTTAATTGTTATTCCAATGACTGTTCATTTACCAACATATATATTTCATGGAAATGTCCATATCTAAAATTAGATTTAGCCAAGCCCTACTGCGACTTCAACAATAAGAGAGGCCATTTTGACATAGTCAGCTGACCTGAAATTTGGCTGATGTAAACATTGCAGAAATGTTTATTTTCTACTTACTGGTACCCTATCTGGATACTTCTTTCTGATCTTCTCACCCTCTGCCCTTCGCTTTTCAAAAGGGTGCTCTTCTTTGTATTGCCACTTCATTTTTAATGGGTAGTTTCCTGATCTCTGTTGTTGAAGACTTGTTGTTGCTAAATTATTTCTCTCAATATGGCTGCTGGTTACATACAAATTAATGAGCGACGATATATAGTTCCAAAGATTCACCGACGAGTAACCAAAATACAATATTTTTTATCAAGATAGAGTAATATTTTTAGATATTCGACTGGTTTCTTTATACCTGACAACTGCTATTGTGCATTTATATACCTCATATAGGATTAAACACTTTGACAGAAAAAGTAGTCCGTTGTCATAATCGACCAATGGGGTATGAATAGATTAGGTAAATTCTAAAAATAGACACAAATAAACAAAGGCACGTGGTACTGCGTCATAATAAATTATTTCACTTCATTATACGTGGGTCTTTCTGAGAGAATTTCACATAATGATGCATAGTCGATCAAAACGATTTTAAGTTACTAGGATCAGCAGATTATAGTCGTGAAAACATACATAATCTTAGGATAGATTAATTTTGTATTAAAGCCATAATCTTTAATTGTTAAACTTGAGTATTAGTTATATTGACTTGTTGACCTCTAAACTCGAATAACAAGTTGGTCAAGTCTGCAGAATAAAGATTTTGTCAAAGATATTGAAAATTGTCAAAGCGTTATTTTATTCTCCTAAGGCCCGGACTTTGCTGATGAAATTTATTTCCACAAGATTATAACGATTCTAAATAGACATTTATTATGGAATAAACATACATAGTAGAAATACAATCATTTTAACCAAAGCTGTATAAAATAGGCTTTAGGTGAGCTGAGAAACTGAATTTTTATACAGAAATGGGGGAAATGAAATTGCAGCTCCT